GATCAGAACATTTTCCAACCAAAATTTGAAACAGTCTCTGAAAACCGTTATCATGACCTAAATGTGCTAGAACTACAAATGCAAGTTGAAAGGCAACTGAAAGCCCAACGCCTTACAAGAATGGACCTCTTCACATTTGATAGTAACTCACTGAAGGTGTTTCGATCGTAATAAATAGCGTTTCGCGCGTATTCTTAAACTCCAACTACGTAGCAAATTTCGATTCAATTGCACTCAAACTTTCACAGAATTCACAGTGATTATCGATAATTCTTGTTGATAAATTAACTTGCCTAAAAGCGAAGCCATTTGAATAAACGATGCAATATAAAAACACCTTCATTTTTCTTCAAAATTAATTTTCTCGAAACTCATYGCAGAKATTGTAATAAAATTTTCAGAATCATTTCTTAATAACATAATTGATATACTGACGAAGTTTCAATAAAATCTTAAACTAAAATTTCGAGTTGTTCGAATGTACATCATTTTGCTCAAACAACTCGAAATTTTAGGTTAAGATTTCATTGAAACTTCGTCATTATATCAATTTTATCATTAAGAAATGATTCTGAAAATTTTATTACAATCTCTGCGATGTGTTTCGAGAAAATTAACTTTGAAGAAAAATGAAGGTGTTTTTATTTTGCATCATTTATCCAAATGGCTTCGTATTTTGKCAAATTAATTTAATATCAACAAGAATTATTGATAATCACTGACTGTTACTTCTGTGAAAATTTGAGTGCAATGGAATCGAAATTTGCGACGTAGTTGGAGTTTAAAAATACACGCGAAGCGCTATTTATTGCGATCGAAACACCTGAATTASTACGCCTTCATGAAGTCCTTCGAAAGCAACGTAGAAAAGTGTACCGATGATTCCAGTCAAAGACTTCAGCTGCTAACCCAATACTGTTCTGGGAAAGCTATAGACATCGTTAAAGGTTGCAACAACTATGCANCCTCAATCTGCGATCCATTTGGTTTTGTGAGTCCATTTGCGTTGTCTTCAAAGTCCATTCTAAGAGACCTGTCAACTCTGGGTTGCGACGACGTGATACCTGATTGTCAAATTGCTAGATGGAACCATTGGATGGGTGATCTTCCCAAGCTGGAGAATTTCTCCCTTGATGCCACCAGAATTTGGTAACGTTGTACATAGCCGCTTGCACCACTTCTCCGACGCATCGGAAGTTGGGTTATAAGAAATTGACATCAAGCTTGAAAGTTCCATGCATGTTTTGGACAGAKAGTACGGCTGTACTTGGTTATATCGACAACAGAGACAAACGTTATCCAGCATTTGTTGCAGATCGTCTCAGCTTCATTTATGACGGCTCAAGACCAGAACAGTGGAAGTATATTGACACGAAATCCAACCCTGCAGATGTGGCTTCTAGAAGAACCTCATCTGACAAGTTGTTACGAAACAAGCAATGGTTCCGTGGTCCACACTTCTTGTGGACTGCCGAACGGACTTGRCCAGCTCAACCTGTTATAAAGAGAAAGATACCTACAGATGATATAGAAGTGAACCCTAAAGCAGTGTTTCATTCAGAGGTTCAAAAGCCAAAATCTCGCTGAGACAATTTATCAGTAGAAGAGGCACACCAGAAGAAATAAGATCTGATAATGGAGGGAATGTTTGAGCTGGTGAAAGAGAGTTGAGACAAGCTATCGGTGACTGGAACAAAGATCAGATATGTGAATTCATACTTAAAAAAAGTATCCAATCGACCTTCAATCCACCACTTGCCTCGCACATGGGAGGCGTATCATGGGAGAGATGTATCYGGACCGTAAGGAAAGTGATGTCTACCCTACCTGAAGAACAAATCCTAGATGATGAAGGCCTTTGTACCCTTACTTGTGAAGTGAAAGCTATTGTTAACAGCAGACCGCTGACCAAARTCTCCGATGACCCCAAARACTTTGAGGCTCTGACACCAAACCACTTACTTATTCTAAGGAAAGGTCCTAACTTACCCCCTGGATATTTTCGCAATGCGACTTACAGTATCAAGAGACGGAAACATGTGCAGTACATGGCTGATGTGTTTTGGCGCAGATGGACAAGGGAATACCTGCCTTCGCTACAACGAAGAAACAAGTGGCAAAGACCTCAGAGAAATGTGAAAGTCAACGATTTGGTCATGCTAGTAGATGAMACGACACTCAGATGTGCCTGGCCCATGRGTACAATCTTGGAAGTCTTCCCCAGCAAGAATGGCAGAGTACGACAAGTGAAGGTCAAGGCTTCAAAGAATGCTACCTTGACAAGGCCAATCCACAAACTGTGTTTGCTGGAGCAAACWTGAACACTTTCAAGTGAACACTATAATTTTGTACCAAGAACTTTAAATTTATGTGTGGTATTAGTTAA